CATGCACGTTGGGATGGGAGAGTCAGGAGCTCATACAGGGCCCTAGGAACACATGATAAGGAGGTAGCAGTGGCCGTGCTGCCTCCCACCCCAAACCCGGCTTGGCACTGACCTTGGGAATGAGATAAGGTGAGGCTGGGCCCATCCACACAGAGAAGCCGAGCTCCCTCACCTCACCCCATGAAAGGCAAAGCCCCAAAGCAGAGCGTTGGGATGGGAGAGTCAGGAGCTCATACAGGGCCCTAGGAACACATGATAAGGAGGTAGCAGTGGCCGTGCTGCCTCCCACCCCAAACCCGGCTTGGCACTGACCTTGGGAATGAGATAAGGTGAGGCTGGGCCCATCCACACAGAGAAGCCGAGCTCCCTCACCTCACCCCATGAAAGGCAAAGCCCCAAAGCAGAGCTGCAGGGCCAGCACTAACCCTGTTCAGCTGCACCTGCTTCCTTCTGCACACACCAAGCCTGTACCCCAGCTTCCAGCTGGCCCCAGAGGCCAGGGGCTAGTGCTGGCCTAAGGCAGCTCTGCTGCAGCCAGAAGGTAGCTAGTGGCCATGAAGGGAGAGGGGTGCCCGAGGGCATCGCTGTCCCTCTTCACCCCCCTCCCCCTGCTCAAACCAGGCCTAGGAGAGCAAAGAAGTCTGTACTTGCTCTTGCAAGTCAACAAGGTGGCATTTGCTGGCACCCCCTTTGCCAGGGAGAGTTGCTAAGAGCTGCTGTGTCAGAGCAGCCCCGAGTTGGCAGGAGAGCAGCTTCCTCCAGCTGGAGCTTGGCAGCCGCTGTCACATTGTCAGGGCCTCACAAGAATGCACGAGGAGGTGAGTGTTGAAGCTTTAACACTTTATTCAAGCAGGGAGCAGGTAACCCGGAAACAGACTTCAGGACCCCACACCAAGTCAGATCCCAGTACCAAATACCACGCACTGACACCGATCACAGCTGTGAGGGCTCACTAAGGAGGGGTTTGTCTTTCTCTGCTGGTAATAAAGCACATGATCAAGTCTGACATCAAGATGCATGCAAACACTAAAGCAAGGGCTCCTCGGACAGCAGCTCTTAAATGCCACCTGGAGAAGTGGCATGAGGAAAGAGCAGCGCAGACAGGGGATGTGTGTGTGCTTCAGAGAGGACAAGGCAGTTAAGGAAGGAACAATAGTGACACAAGCTTGGACACCTGTCCCCCTGCAAGGTCATTGAAAATCCCTCCAAAGCCACAGCTGGCTGGAGCTGCTCCTGCCGCAGGCTGGGGGCCTGTCCGTGCCCATTCCTGTGGCATGTTCTTATTTCAAGGACTACTGCCAGGGCTCAGGTCACTCCTGTTTGACATTGAAAAGCTAGACTGATTTTTTTTTTTAATGTATTTTACAATAATAGGGACTGGCCACAAGCAAAGAGCACACTACTGCATTTTACCAGATGTCAAATGAAGAGAGAAAGCATTCAGCTTCAGACGAGGAAGCTGAGAGGTCATGAGAAAGGTGCCAGTGATTTTGTCCCCTCCCCACCCCCTGAGATAAGACTGGAGTCTGCAGTGAGACCTAGGGAGGGGAATAAGCAGTTTTCCATGCACACAAGCCAGCTCTACCACAGAATGAAGAAGCAGAGGTTGGCTTGTTTTTAAGTAGTACACACACCCACCTACAGCAGTGACCAGAGCCCTCTGCACAGTCAGCCCAAAAAAACCTGCACTCACCTTTAATTCCATAAACTTTGTAACTGATTTGAAGGAAGCTCACTAAATCACAGAGCACAATCTAACTAGCTTGCTTCCATAAAACATCAAGTCTCACAACTAGAGGTAGGAAGCTAATTCAAGATAGCACAACTATTTGAAACAGTTCAGCCTACAGAGCAGGTAGAGTCTGGAAAGTACGTAAGGGACTGACATTGGTATTTTCATCACCACAGGAGAGTGGGAAAACAACAACAAAAAATAGACTGCAGGAAGTTGATCCATGTTAGATACTAACCATCAAGCTTTGCAGATGACATTGCATGATAAGCATAGAACAATTATGGGAAACACTGTCCCCGATAATTACGTACACCCATAGTGCAACATATGGAGGTCACTGCCTCCGATATAACACTGTGGTAGGCAAAAACTACCTTGTTCTTTACACATTATGGAAGACACTGCCTCCGATAATGTCAGTTAGGTTTCATGATACACAAGGTACTGGAAGTTTGCAGGAAGCTGCCATTTAAGATTGGGCCAGTGCCTAATTCGAGGTACAAGTTTACTTGTGTTGTGGGAGGTGGCACTAGGGCTGCATAAATGAGGCCTTTTATCACCTCAGCCCAGAGCGCATCTGCCCCTCGGCCAAGGCCAGAGGAAGGCAGGAAGCTGCGCTCCCATGGGAGCGCAGGGTATCCAGAAAGGAGAGGGGGTAATGGATGCCCAACCCCACTGAGGGACACAGACACCCCTGGGATGCCAAATTTCTACTATTCAACTTCTCCACCCAGGTTTTCAACATTTCAAAGATCAATTTGGAACACAACCCAGAGACTTACTTGAAGACTTTACGTCTTCAAGTTTATTCCGGAGTGGTGTTTTTGCCACAGAAAGCTTAATCGCTAGGTTTCAATTTATTGTTTTTTTTTTTTTTCGCACGTGTTGATTATTTTAAATGCAAAGTTCCAGTATCATGTTTGACTGTAATAGCAGATGCTGCTTTATTCAAAAACGACAGTATAACTGTCATAATTATGGAAGGCACTGCTTCCGATAATTATCTTCTATAAAAAAACCACACACCATTTATAGTGAACGCTGTCACTGATAAATAAATAAACAAATAAATATCTCAGTGCCAAACACGAGCCGTCCTGAACAGTGGCTACAGCCAGACAGGGTGTGGCCAGCACGAGACTCATTTCACAAAAGGCCCAAAAGCAGCAAGATCTGAAGTGCCAATCTAGAGCCATGCCTCAACACTACAGGACTCAGTAAGCTGCCAGTTCAGAGGGGCCTCTGATAGTCTTTGGCCATTCTCCCCTGGTATCAAGACCTGCTTTGGAAGAAGCCTCCAAGATGTTGTAAGGTCACTGCTCTTTAGCCAGGGGAGGCTGGGCACTTCAGAGCTTGCTGATAATCTAGCACTTACGGGCTACTACTACATTGTTTTATTCTTGAGCTAGAGGTTTGTTTGCAGCTCCCTGATGAGGAAGAGATTCTCATAAATGCTGAAGGAATCCATTCCCTGTTCTATAACTAAAGTTTAGGAGGCCAATAATTAGAACCCTAAATAGATGTGGTACCTACCCACTTAAGGTACCAGTTTGGAATTTGCCAGAGTTGTTTGTTCTCAAGTACACCAGAAAGCCCCACAATAGCTGTATGTGACTGTTTTGAACTGTGGTCAGAGGAAATTTCATGGTAAGTCTAGTACCTGCTTTAAAACTGCCTCCTGTGAATTTGTCAAGGTGAGAATTTAAGTTTAAATTCAACTTTGGTCAAAAAAATTAACATTCCCCCCTTATCCCAACCAATTCTCTACAGAAATATAATGCCATGTTAGAAAGTGGGTTTCCATAATTCTGTACCTTAGCCAGGTGCTTGCTGTGTCTAAAACTCATTGTCTGTATCCCAGATATCCCCTACTATGGCATTGGCAGCCCCTTTGATGGTCCAGGTTGCCAGGGCCAGCTGCTCTTTGAGTAGATTCACATTCACACTGCTCTTGCTGTTCTTCAGCAGCTGTAGGTTCTCCAGCAGACTCTGCAGGGTGTGGGAGCCTTTGCCAAAGAAGATGTGCCGAAGGGGAGTATCTTTTGGTGACAGATATGGGGAGAGGAAGTCGTATTCCACCTGGAGTAGAGGTGGAAGTTTAGGGTTATTCTCTCACCTCCTGAATTTATTTCTTCCCTCATCTGCCCCATCACTAACCTCCAGACTTCCATTCCCATCCAGCCCATTCCCACCTTCTGCAAGGGCCAGAAGGCCTCCTGATAGGAGGCATGGAAGTCAGTGACATTAAGCAAGCTGGAGACACTCTGATGTACACAGTGCCCATGGCTCCCAAGTAAAAAACAGGCATCCCAGCTGGTATACATCACTGTTGGGGAAAAAAGGGAAGCCGGTTGTAAGGACTCACCTTCATGATCCTGTCGTTCAGGGCTCTGCGCATGACCTTGTTTTCCCTATCACTCTGTGCGATGTCTCTTCTTAGTCCATCTACAGCTCGCTGGAAGTCTCCACGGGCAAAAAACAGCCAGTCCAAGGTCAGCCCAAGCTCCTGCAAGGGAAAAGTTGGCAGCAAACACGATTTTCTTCTTTCATTGCTCTATTACAGACATAATTTTTTCTCCCTTCCCCCCCGACCCCCCTCCATTCACATTAAGTTTAAACTTAGTAGCAGAACCAGTTCCTGGCAGTCTTTCCTGAGGTCACTGAATTCCATCCACAGCTTCTTTTACTCTTTCAGCAGAGATGCAAATAACAAAGATGGACTGCACTGAGTGACAACCAGTTTAGAAAACTACTGCAACCATATCAACTTCCCCAGGAATTCACCACAGCAAGACTAGCTAAGTCTGCTATAGCTACTCTGTACGGCTCTATAAAAAGCACCAATTCAGGTCACATCTCGCTACAACCCTATCTCAAGAGGAAGAAAATGTCTATTCTACTACATTCAGTAGCTACATAAGCTTTTTAAGACACCATACCAGACTACAGAGAATCAGTGCACTCAAAGCCTTACCTTCACTTCCTGATCATATTCCAAAAACTTCTCCTGGAACATTAGCAGCTCATCACTGTATCTCTCAAAGTCCAGGAAGAGCTCATGATCATGGGTCAGCCTGAGAGCAACATGTCCAGCCACTTCTGCAGCAGCACGCATAAGATCATAGAGTCTGGGAATCTTCTTCAGGTTCTCCACAGTGTCCTGAGTGGTGCCCAGGAAGGAGTAGTCCTCACCTCTCTGCAGGGCAGAAAACACTGGAGTCAGACAGGAATGTTTCTCAACCTAGAAAAAAAAGTTGCCTCCCACTATAGTTTGCCTCCTATTTCCACCCCTCCCTCACCCTCTTAAGCCTCTATGTTGCAAGGCCCTAGTGCCAAACAAAGCACAAGGCAGGGCTCCTGCATCTAGTGTCTCGCACTCTTCAGTAATCATCTCTACTAGCCCATTAGACCTGAAAACACATGGGCCTCAGCCCTACTGAGGTTCTTCTGCAGAGCTGTGGATGGACGAAGCTCAGCACCTAATTCAGCGTGTGCTAGCAGAACCCCCTCTCCATCCTCTAGACTTCTGGGTGGGTTGATTTCGTTGTTTTTTTCTTTTAATTATTTTTGGTTTGAAAGTCTGACACTAACAAAGTCCAAACATTCGTTAGCCAAGGAAGCTGTCACCAGAAAGTCTAGTTCTGCTCAGCTTCCAGCCATGCACTTGGACTCTATAATAAGAGAGCAAACTACCTAGATAATACTTTTTATGTGCTAGCCCCAAGCTGCAGTAGCAGATACAGCAAGTTAGTACTTGCCTCTGGCTACTTACACCACTTCCTCAGTGCACTCTGCTTCCTAAAGAGCAGTCTCTAGTACATCCTTTCAAAGCAGCAGCAGAAAGCTGAGATCTTTCCAGTGAATTAAGTTTCTGAAGCGCTGTCATTTGAACCTCTAGAACAGGGAGGGCCCCCCTCTCCCAAGAAAACAGATGTTCAGAAGTCTGGAACAGAGGCTGTTTGCCAGCCATGCCCAAGGAGAGGCCTGCATAGAGAGCAGTCACAGCCATTAGGCCTGGAGGCTGTCCCTGCCTCTTCCTGCATGGAAGTTGAGTCTGGGAGCAATGCCATGTGCTCTGCCATTCTGGAGGACAACTACTATTACAGCATTTTCCATAGAGCAAATGCACCAGGCATACACACAATACTTACATCATAGAAACCAAAGGACACAGCGGGGATTCCCGAGTATGCCAGAAAAGGAAATGCTGCATCACCCAGGCCAAGGGGAACGCTACAAGAGACAGGTATTGAACAGTTAACTGGTTAAGATATCCCAGAAAAAGAGCTACAAGCCCTAGAACTGAAGATCCAGGACATCTGGGCTGCACTGTCTAGACAGGGCAGGTTTTGTCAAGAGTCCTGGACAAGTGCTGAAGGCTGCTTATCTGTTTCCAGCCACTGGTCTTGAACACCCTATCTGCAGGCTGAGAGCAGCCTCGCTCCGAGTTGCCTATGTGCAGCTTGGGGCAGTGCTAAGCACAGTTAGTGCTCTGCTGCCATGTTTGCCCGTCCCCAACCCAGTAGGTAGGGCCTGCCCCAGACAGCAGTGCTGCATTTTAGTATGAAGAGCAGAAGCTGGTTAATTTCTTCCTTTATGGCAACCTGCTCCCCAAACAGCACAGGAGACTTACACTGCTTTTACCCAGTCCGAGCCAACTCTGTTCAACAGGTTTCTGTCACCCGCTGGATCCGACACCTGGAAAGAGACTGACAGTCATTGCTCTTGTTCTGGCTCCCAGGCTGCCTTCAAGCTGTTTGGCCATCCTAGAGCTCACACTACTACATAGATGCCAGTCGGGTGAGCTCTCCTGACCTTTCTGCACATCCATGCAGGACGGGCAAACAGCCCCCACTGAACTGTGGCTGTGACTTTTGGTTTCCATATGCATGAACTCTAGTACCTACAGCCCAGTTGTCTTCAGAAAGGGCCCTCATGAGTGTCTCGGCCCTTTCTCCTCACGGGGCTTCTTTTTAGAAGGTGCCCAACACAACTCAAGCAGCTTCCACTTTCTCATGAAACCATAGTTGGCTTGGTCAGACCAAGACCCTTCAACTCACCCCTTTCATGGTTCTCTCCAATAGCGAGTACAGCATTGGGCTGGCAGAAATCTTGACATTTTGCCAGCCTGCAAGACAGGAAAGATATCTGACATACTGGTATAGTTAATCACTACTTTCAGAACACTTCAGTCCTCTAACTGAGCAGCAGTAACAGCTCCTGGATCAACTGATCTACAGGGTATTCCAAAAGAATAATTGGCAGATGCATGGCAGAACCTGTTCGAACCTAGCAGAGTTGTCTTCCTCTGACTCAAGTTATAATAACTTTCTAGCTTCAATGACAAGCCAGTGATATAAGGAGTCATGCCAACCTTTAATCAATCAAGGTCAGCTTGGCACAGTCAGGCAGCCTCCATTTCTGGAGGTTGGGGATGTCTGACAAGTCATTCTGGGGCAATCTGGCTTCCAGAACCTGAACAGAGTGGTAAGTTACCTAGAACAGCCGCATCCAGGTTAATGTAAGTGAAGGCTTTGGCATGCAGCGTGGCAGAGTATCCCTAAAACAAAACATAGGTGTAAGATGAACGGCAACAGAGCAACACCAGGACATTTTAATCATGGGAGCTGGGAATCTGAAGTAAACAGTCATTGCAGAAGTCCATATCAAAGTACCTCCAGCCATTCAGTGGCACCCACAGCTCCATATTCCCCTGCACTCCAGCTAGCAAAGATGATGCTTCGCTTTGGTTTATAGCCATCTGCAAACAGAGGGAGAGAGAAGTGCTGAGATCTATGCCGTTTTGTTGGGTTCTATGCCATTCTGCCATGGAGATGTAGACTACTGAGGCTCTGAGCTGATGAATCACCCACCAACAACTCAACAGGCAGAGCTGAGGCGGTCTGCACAGGCACGCCTGCACACTAGTTACACCAAGAACATTTTGCCTTGTTCCTCATCTCTCCAGATCTGTGTGGGGAATCCCTGTCACCTGCAATCCCTCCCTACTGCCCTCCTCTTTAGCTGCCAGAGCCCAGAATCAACCCTGAAGGCAAGCGCAGAGACTTGCACTAAGTGTCAACATGCAGCCCCAAATCCTCCAGGGAGTCGGTTACTTCAGTGTTTTCTTCCTTCAGGGTTGGCTGCCCAATAAACAGCTCTGTGTTCAATGTGTGTTATCCAAGGACATTGTTGCATTTCAATTAACTTGATATTAGCAGGTAAGTCCCTTGGAAACAAGCACTCACTGCAGACACATTGCCCATGCTGGGCAAGTCCAGGAGCATGGCATCTCAGAGTTTTGTCAGATATCCTACATCTTCTCAAGGGATTGCTTTGCAACTGAGCTCTCCAATACTAACACACAAAACTGATTCCGTAGGATTCAGTCTTCTTCTCCTCCCACTCCCATGCTTTTTTGCTCAAATACTTACCCATTTTCACCACCTCTGAGATCACTTGAGCAAGTTCCAACAACATGGCAGTTCCAACACCAGCCTTGGCTGCTCCTGGGCCCCAGGAGTCTCTCTGAGCCCCAATCACAACATATCTATCTGTAAAGGAGAGATTAAGAGCTCTGAGCTGCAAGCTTCATGCTGAAAACACTTTCTATCAGAAAAGCAACTTTAATTCCCATGCTAGGAACAGTATAAAGTCTGACTTCTGTATCTATCTCACTGTATTTAGACTTTCCCTGGCAGCTCAGTTCAACTTTTCTCCAATTTTCAAAGAAAGACCTTGGTTTTGCTGGCTGGAGGATCTGGTTGCCATGCTCTGAAGATGGCAGAATAGAAAGAGCCCCCCCTTAAAACTAAGCCACAAGCCAGTTGCTCCTACCTGGTTCTTCAAACCCCTTGATAGCACCAAAGATGTTCAGAATCTTCCTGTCCACCATGACATTGTTCACTTTCAGTTGCACTGTCTTATTGTCTTTACTGCTCGACATCAATGCACATCTGATGAGCCCACCTTTCCATTCCGCAGGACATGGGCCCCCATCCATTTTGCTGAGGGGAAAGAGATCCTTTGAGCTTATTGTCCATCTCTCACTTAATTTACCTTTTCTGAGATACAAAAGCCTGAAACCACAGGGGCAGCCTTGTTCAAAGTCTACTCAGAAATTAGCTTGCCACACCGTACTGCTAATTGCATGTGGTAAAGAAGAATGCAGACCATGGCCAAGGGGAACCCAAATTAAAAATCTGTCTTTAGGTAATAAGACATGTCAGACAAGTGACATTTCCCCAGCCATTCCTACTAAGTGCAATACATTGCCAGGCCAGCAGAGAGCTCCCTGGGCTTATAACACTTCAGCATCATCTTCACCACCAGCAACAGGGTCAACAGCCTAGTGTGAAAGCTGGCATGGACGGTTACCTGAACAGGCGGCTTGCTGCATCACTGGAGATGGTCTGAACAGCAATCTCGGGTAATCCCGAAGATTTGACTGGGGGGAACTGGGTGTGGTTGAAGGAAGGGAAGCCTGGAGTGTAAGGGTCTCCAGTGCCAAGGTGGGCCTGTGAGAGGCAAGAAGAGTCCTCAGGTTTCATACAAAGACCAAGAGTTGTCACAGTTGACACAAGAGCATGAAACTCCGCCAAGCTGGAGGCCTGCAGGACTGCTGCAGCTTGCAGCCCACAGTGAAGAGGGCTCAGCAAAGCAGCAGACAGGAGAGCTGGTCACATACTCACATGCCCAAAAGGAGCAAGTTGATTCGTGCCCTTGTAATCAGATGGATCCATGTACATCAGGACACCAACTGCTCCTGCCTCTTTGGCATTTGCAACCTGAAACAAAGAACAACATTAGCTGCACATTTGCACAGCAAGCTAGAGGCATTAAGGCAAATAGATTGAGGAACAGTGTGGGGGGTTGTGCTTCTCAATGTCGAACTCCACAGGAGATTTTAAACACTTAAAAAGAACTGGCATAAAGAACACAAAGATTTGACTGCAAGCAGCCCAGCTCTGGACACAGTGGGTCTAACACACTCTTGAATTAGGATGTTCTCTGTGGTTAACATCCAACCCCACAATTTGTTCAACTCAGACCAGTCTCTCAGGCTCAGAAGGATGTTATTTTTTATTATATTCAGGCTGATTTCCCAAGAGTAGATTAGTATCAAGCCAAGATAATCAGCCCACAGAGGTTCATCTTCACAAAGAAAATGGAAGGATAGGATGGGCTGGTTAAGCCAAGGCCCAATTTAGTACACCGACAACCCAGCTGCCTCACGCAACACAGGCACAAACTCTTGCAAGGCCAAACACCAGTTTACAAGGTGGAAAGGGGAGCACAGAAGCAGCGACCACCACTTCTGGAAGCACCTTTCACCTTTGCCTGCAGCTATGATGAACACAGCCAGACAGGGCTGGTACTGGCACGCAGGAGAGAACCCTACATCCCAGTCTCCCAACAAGCACCTGTGTGAGGGGCAATTCTCTGGCAGACCTAGAACAGGCTTTGTGCAGGAGGACTCTGCTCCTTCTGGTTACTTGACTATTTGATTTTGTTTCCTGTAAAGGGAGCGTTACATGAACACACAGCCTGGCTGGCTGGGCAGGCAATGCTGGCACCTATAAGGACACTTATGCTTGGACCTACAGAACACTAACAGAGTTCCAAAAGCATTTGACTGTACTAAATAAAAGCTGCTCCAGAGATGATAAAGTTATGGGGTTTTTAATTTGTTTTTTGGCAGCTTCATTTCTGTTTATATCATCAGCAAGCTCTGTATCCTGTGGTGTCTGCCCTGTGGATCATAGGCTGCCTGCCTCTGCCTCCCAGCTCTATCATCCTGGACACTCAGCCATCCCAAACAGTCAGAGGCCAAGAATGAGCTCCCACAAGAACTAACTAGCTCCACCGAGCCTTGGTGTCCAGACCTGCACATGGAAGCCTAACACAAACAAGCAAGACCAGTCCACAAGCCTGTGGTAAGTTCTAGAGGCTTAAACTGAGGCTCAGTCTTTCACCTTTTGCAGGTACATCTCTACCTCCTTACTGCTAAATTTAGCCCAGCTCCATGGGCATAGATTGCTCACCTTCTCAGCAAGGGTAATTTTACCAGCTCTGACGATGACAACAGATTCATTCAAAACACCCAAATTTTGCAGTTGCTGAAAGTCTTCTTTTTGTCCATAGTTCACATAGACCGGTTTGCCCTGAAACAGAGATAATGTTCATAAATGCAGCAGAGTCATAGAATGGTTAAGGTTGGAAGGGACCTCTAGAGATCATCTAGTCCAATCCCCCTGTTCAAGCAGGGCCACCTAGAGCACATGGCACAGGGTCACACCCAGGAGAGTTCTAGAGACTCCACAACCTCTCTGGGCAGCCAGTTTCCAGGGCTCTGTCACCCTCATAGTAAAGAAGTTCTTCCTCATATGGAGATAAAATTTCCTGTGCTTCAACTTGCACCCATTGCCCCTTGTTCTGTGGCTCACCACCACCAAGAAGTGTTTGGCCCCATCCTCATTACATTCACCCTTCAAGTATTTGTACATGTTGATAAGATCCCCTCTCGGTCTTCTCTAGGCTAAAAAAGCCCAGCTCGCTCAGTCTTTCCTCTTAAGACAGTCCCTTAATCATCTTTGTCGCTCTACACTGGACCCTCTCTAGAAGCAAAATGTCCTTCTTGTACTGGGGAACCCAGAACTGCACCCAATAATCCAGGTGCAGCCTCATCAGAGCTGAGTAGAAGGGCAGGATCCCTTCCCTCGACCTGCTGGCAACCGTCTTCCTGATGCAGGCCAGGATCCCATTGGTCTTCTTGGCCATGAGGGCACATTGCTGACTCATGGGTAACCTGTTGTCAGCCAGGACTCCCAAATCCCTCTCCACAGAGGAGATTTCCAGCAGGTCAACCCCTAGTCTGTCCTGGTGCCTGGGGTTGTTCCTCCCCAGGTGCAGGACCCTGCCCTTGTCCTTGTTGAACCTCATGAGGTTCCTCTCTGCCCAACTCTCCATCCTGCCCAGGTCCCTCTGAATGGCAGCACAGCCCTTGGGAGTGTCGGCCACTCCTCAAGTTTGGTGTCATCTGCAAACTTGCTGAGGGTGCCCTCTGTGCCCTCATCCAAGTCATTGATGAACAAGCTGAACAGCACTGGGCCCAGTACTGACCCATGGGGGACACCACTGGCCACAGGCCTCTTACTAGACTCGGCCTCATTTATCACCACCCTCTGAGCTCTGCCAGCCAGCCAGTCCTCAATCCACCTCACTGTCCACTCATCTAACCCACACTTCCTGAGCTTCCCCATGAGGATGTTATGGGAGACAGTGTCAAAAGCCTTGCTGAAATCAAGGTAGATAACATCCACTGCTTTCCCCTCATCCATCCAGCTACTCATCCCATCATAAAAGGCTATCAGGCTGGTCAAACTTCCCCTTGGTGAATCCATGCTGACTACTCCTGATCACCTTCTTTTCCCTCACGTGCCTAGAGATGGTCTCTAGGATGAGCTGCTCCATCACCTTTCCAGGGATGGGGGTAGGGCTGACCAGCCTGTAACTTCCCGGGTCCCCCTTCTCACCCTTTTGAGTGACCTTGGCTTTCTTCCAGTCCTCCAGCCTCTCTCCCATTCTCCATAACACCTCTCAAAGATGGAGAGTGGCTGAGCAATAACCCCCACCAGATCCCTCAGCACTCTTGGGTGCATCCCCTCAGAGCCCACAGATTTAATGTGTGTTCAGTTTCAGTTTGCCTAAATAATCTCTAACCCAAATTCTCCTTGACCTGCACAAAGTCTTCCTCTCTCCCGGTTTTCTCTCAACTCCAGAGTCCGTAATTCATGGGATCTAGCCTTATTAGTGAAGACTGAAGCAAAGAAGGCGTTTAGTAACTCTGCCTTCTCTGCATCCTCTATCACCAAGGCACCCATCCCCACCCCCACAAAAAAAATAAAAATAAAAAATTTGCCCTTCATCCTCCAGGTCCCTGTACCTGTTGGATAGGGTTACCTGGTAGGGTGAGATGGGAGAAGGATTTCTCCTGCCACCTTGAGCCTGGACTGGCCAAGTCCTCAGCCAGTTAAGGTATTTTAAACAGTCTACAAAGCAATGGGGCCTGGAACACATCAGTCCAATATTAACAGCAGGGAGTTTGTGCTCAGCAATGCAGACTCCAGCCACATGCAACATGCCTGCTGGAGCAGCACATCTGTCAAAGCTCCTGGCTGGATCCCAGCAGGAAGAGTCTAAACAGACAGCTACTTTTGCATCTTGCTGAAGCACACAAAAAAAAAAGTGTAGCCCCACTCCTTCCCCATCCTTTATCCCTCCCTGACTTCCCCAGCTCTGTACCTGGAGTGTGCTTACAAAGTGCATATATTGGAGGAGTACATTTTAGACCTTGCCACCTGGTTAGCATGCAAGCACATTGCCAAGACCTTCTGTGTCACTTACAGAGGCAGAGCCATTCTTGCTGTATGCCACATATGCATCAGGACTCTCGCTTATGCTTCCACCATCTTCCAGAAGAGACACTTTGTTGTTGCTGCTGTTAAGTGTCAGAAAAGACTGTTATATTATTTCATATACAGCCTGTATACTTCGCTAGGTCCTGTCTTTCAGTCTATGCACAGATAATTCTGATCAAGTTAATGCAGAGTCTAAAACAGCTTGACTCATCAGTAATTTCACATCATAACCTTTAGGGTTGTTCAGAGGTATTACTGAAGGTTAGTTTACGAGAAGTAGTGGAAACAGTCTGTGCTTCTCAGTCTCTTATTAGTCCCCTCATAAAACAGCCAAGTAAATTTGATTTTCCCCTCACACAAAGGGACAGGAAGACAGGCTAATGTGACCTGTCATCCATTGCTGATACTCCTGAGCTACAAGCAGCAGAAGCCAGGTCTGCAAAGACTTTATAATTTTGACAGAGGCACCCATGCTAGCAGCCTTAGACAAAAGCAGCCTACCCTTCAGCTAGTTGTTTTTCTCTTCCCCCTCTCCCCCAAATTGTTTTCTCTCCAACTCTTGAGCATGCCTTGAGGCAGCAGCCATGCCAGGAAGAATCCTGAGGCCTGTTACTAGACACCTGGGATTTAGAAAGCCTGTGAAAAGACAGCAGTAGCCATTGCTGTAGTTTCCTTTGGAGGGGGATAATTGGCTCATTATCTTTGTAGCCCAAGCAGCTGCAAAGATCTAAACTGTAAAAATCCGCAAATCTTCATTAACATACCTTCCTCTGACCTGCAGTTTAATATAGTGCTCATCATTCCACACTTTATCCAAGAAGAATTTGTTGAACTGGTCATGAATGTAGGTGGCCAAATTCTCATCTTCAGTCTGGCCAGCTTCAAAAGATCTGCTATTTGCTCTTGACCTGTAAGCAACAGATTTATAGTTCAGGCTAAAGTACCACCATACAGTAGAGTACCCCAGCAAGCAAACTCAAGATGGGCAGGCCATTTAAAGCCATGTTTAATGAGATGTCATCCTGCAACATCTTTAACACAACCTTAGTCTCTAAAGGAGAGAAGCTCTATTCACCAGCTGTGCCTCTTCCTTAGCTGTAGGAATCTGAAACTGTTACCTCAAGTTGTCTTCAAGACGTCTGACTGACAGCCTTTTTGAAAAGAAGTCTTTAAGTTCAGGCCAGTAAAGGACACGCGATTCTGGAATCTCTTCCTCCATTTCATCAGCATCCGTTAAGTAAGAAGCAGCAGGAGTTATCTCACACCTGCCACTTCCATCTAGACACTTTCCAGCCATCTGCATTCGTCCACGGTAACTCAAGTAGCCGATGAGAAACCCTATGGAAAAAGGAGGCATTCTTCTGTGCTGCAAGAAAGAGGACTAAGCCAGGCCAACATCAGACAAGCACATTCAAAGTGGCTCTTAGGGTCCATATGCAGCTCTGTTCTCACACAATTTTTAAAAGCTGGCATACCTGAGGACAGACAGGAATACACAGCCTGACACTTTGCCTGAGCTGAAATGTTTTACAGGACACTGCATCTGATCTTGTGCTTGGCAGAGTCTCTTCAGCACCATGCAGTGAGGAGACAGTTTGTTTTAAGTTGGTAGCACGGTACAAGCCTTTGAAGAGCTCGCAAACACAAAATGCTTCAGCTTCCAGAGGTCTTACTGAGGTGTTCACCCATATCTCTAGAGAAGCATTAGAGTCAGTGTAAGGAAAAACCAGTACCCTTCCCACACTAACCAGTTTGCCCTTTAGCAAACGGATCCATGCAGTTCTGCTGTCAAACTGGCCATTATTGATGCTAATTCTATACCACAAGCCCAAGACAGAAACATTTAGTGACAAGAAGCTGCAGCTTGGATCCTAGCTGTTATAACCATCTTCTGAAACAAAACAAATTCAAATATAAAAGGCTTCAGATTGATGCAAGACCAGTTCACTTGATGCAGTTCCCTCCCATCTCTCCTTACCAATCAAAAGCAGGAGTACAGCTGCGATGATTAGGAAGCAGAGGTTCTTGCCGGTCCTCCGTGGCTGCCCCATGGTGGTATGCAGGTTCTCCTGCCTCCCCATCTCCCCTCCTTCCTCATCATCAGCAGACAGCTTCATCTCCACGTGGCTGTTGTCGCCGTCTGTTTGCCGAGCAATGCTGAAGCGCGTGTATGACATGGGCTCGCCACCAAACTGTGTTGAAAGAGTCATATGAGGGAACGGTTTGCTACATTACTCAACAGCCCTTCCAGCTAACTGCACCCATGCTCAAAACAGAACAGGTCCATCTGCAACTGCTCCAGTGCAGCACAAGCATCAGCTGTCCATCAGGTAGGCAGACAGCTTTGCACAGACACAGTTAGACTTGGAGGCACTCCAGGTGCCTGGTGGGTATTCAGTGTCTATTTGCCCTGCACAAATGCAGAACCACACTGGTCACAATCCAGTTTGGTCTCTGTACCTCACAGAATACAACCAATAGCATTAACATTTCCCATATCACTCTGTGACAAAGGTTGATTGAAGCTGAAACTCTGGCTGCTAATCAGGAGTGCATGCACTGATCTGACCTAAATATGTGCAATTTGCACACTGGAACTTTGATCATGCTGAAGGGAAAACAATCACTCCACAGTAGTGCCTTTGAACTACCTCAACCTTGATTTAGATAAATTGTAGGGTAATAATGGCTTGGGCACATGCTGGGGACAAGCAGAAGACTAGCTAGAGGACAGAGAAATGTTTATAGGCGCAACAAGCCCTGCAGCCTCTCCTCACTCTGCCAAGGCAGCGGCTGCTGATGAGCACCCAGCCCTGCTACCATCTCTGCAGCTCTTCCACGACTCAAAATAAATGAGGAGGCAGGGGGGTCTTACCAAGTTAGAAATTGCTGCTCTGGCATGGTCCATTGCTTGCTGGAGGAGCACCCACCACTCTGACCAAAGCCCTGGAAGTCCAGAACACAACACATCACATCAGGCTGCTTCCCTCCCACCACAGGAGTGGTCTAAGATACGTCACGGTTGAGCGGGACGCGTGCCCAGAAACGTTACACCTATGTTTCTATATAAGTCACAACAGTCGCAGCCAGTGCACATGTAAGGTCACATATTACTCCCACTGCAGATATAGGTTCAGAAGGACAAACTCAATCTTTTTGTTGAGCACTACAGGGGGAGGGAAAAAAAAAAAAAAAAAAAAAAAAAGCAACATGATCTTAAACAGCTAAATTCAGCCAAGGGTCTTATTAACATTAATGCCACCACCTTTTAGGAGGGCTGGCAAGAGACAGCTGCTCAGCAATGACAACTGACATTCTTGGGGTTCATTTCAATGACACAATCATGACAAGAGCTCGACTGCTAGCCAGAAGCAGCACAACACTAGATAGAAGCAGTGCAAATTTCCAGCCTACAAAAACCTTTTCCGTTATAAGGCACCTTCTAAATGGCTACATTCTTTCTCTGTGCAAAGAAAATTTCAGTATTTGGACAGTTTCCTTCAATAGCCAAGAACAACTGTCAAGGCACAAAGACCATTTTAGAGGCATCTATAGTTTGGATTTTTCTAAATCGCAGGTTTATCCAAAAAACGTTACTTCAGCTTAAGCATTTTTTTTTTCCTGGAAGGACACCTGGTCATAGAATCATTATGGTTGGAAAAGACCTTCAAGATCGACATGAAGCTTTGCAAATTAGTGCTTAGACAGCTTGGGCTGGGCCAGGCGGCTGAATTGCGACCCTGGAACAAGCCCCAGAGCTGTGCTGCTGCGGAACCGACCCGCTGGGTTAAGGCCAGGAGAGCATTTGAGCTGGTCTTCCCGTGCACCTGGATTACTGTTATACCTGGGAGCGGTTGGAAAAGACCTTCAAGATCGACATGAAGCTTTGCAAATTAGTGCTTAGACAGCTTGGGCTGGGCCAGGCGGCTGAATTGCGACCCTGGAACAAGCCCCAGAGCTGTGCTGCTGCGGAACCGACCCGCTGGGTTAAGGCCAGGAGAGCATTTGAGCTGGTCTTCCCGTGCACCTGGATTACTGTTATACCTGGGAGCTCTGCAGGATAATCATGTTGCCGGGAGCAGGGCAGATCAAAGGTTAACGGGGGCGACATTTTGTCACCTCTTTTGCTTAGGGCAAAGTGACACGCACTGAACCCCCCCCCC